CACTGGCTGCCCCTGAGGGTCCTTCAGTTTATCAACGTTCATCTTGTACCGGGGGCCTGAAACCGGACACAGTGTTCAGATGCAGCACAATGAGTGCTGATCGGGGTGGGATGACCACTTTCCTAGACGCACTGGCTCTGCCCCTGTCAGTGCAGTCCAGGAGGCTGTTGCCCATCATTTCTTCCATACTGCTGGCTGCTGTGCAGCTCACTGTCCCCAGGCCTCCAGGTTCTTTCTGCAGAGCTGCTCCCCAGCCAGGCAGCCTTTGACCTGCGTCGCTGCAGGGCTCCTTCCTTTCCAGGTGTAGAACTAGGTATTTGCCCTTGTTGGATTTCATAAATTTCCTGTGAGCTGTCTGTAAGTTCCTTCAGACCGTCTCAGTCCCTCTGGATGGCAGCCCTATCCTTCAGCATGTTGGCCGATCCCACTAACTTGGTGTCATCTGCAAACTTGGTGAGAGTACACTCCTCACCTCATCCAGGTCGCTGATAAAGCTGTTAACCAGGACAGATTCCAGGATAGATCTGTGACACCCCACTAGTCACATGCATTCAGGTAGGGTCTGACCGGTAACCATGACCCCGCAAGTCTGGCCATCCAACCAAGATTTTACCCACCTGGTTGCCCACCCATCCAGACCATAATGTCCCAAGCTGGGTACAAGAATACTATGGAAAAATGTGTCAAAAGCCTTACTAAAACCAGTACAAATTACATTAATCTCTCTTGCCTCAACCACAAATCCAGTCATTTTATCAAAGGAACCCTTCAAGTAGGTCAGGTGTGATTTACCTTCTCGTGAATCTCTGTTGTTTTTCTCCTTCATGTGCCTGGAAATGAGACTTGGTCCATGTCTTTCTCAGGAGCTGCAGTGAGGCTAACTGTCCTTTAATCCCCTAGATTACTCTTTTGGCTTTGTTTTGCAGATGGGTGCAATGTTCACCTTCCTCCAGTCACCAGAGATCTCCCTCAGTCTCCACAACCTTTCAAAAATGACAGAGCAACCTAGCAAGGGTGCCGGACCGAACTCTTACCAACCTTGGATGCAACCTGGCAGTCCTATGGACTTGTACAGGTTGGATTCATTCAGACAGTCCCTGACTCAGTCCTGCACTGCTGGTCGTTCTCCTTGAACCCTCTCAATGCACACAGAGGTCTGGGACACCTGTTTTGGTAATGACTGAAGCAAAAGAAAACACTGAGCATCTCAGCCCTGTAGGTGTCCACTACTAATATATCACCTGCCCTATTCAGTGTCAGGCCCACATATTTCTTGTTCAGCCTATTACTACTAATGTAGAAGCCCTTCATGTTGTCCTTCATGTCCCTTGAAAAGCTCAATTGCAGTTGTGCTTCAGGTTTCCTGGCACCATCCTTTGATGCCTGAGAAATGCCTCGAAATTCCTTGTCCGTTATCTGGCCATGCTTCCACCTCCTGTACGCTGCCTTTTTTCAGCGGAGCTCTACCATGAGTCCTCTGTTTTGTCAAGCTGGTCTCCTGCTCTACTTTTTTTTTTTGTGTGAACTTTGTGATGACCTGTTCCTGTGCTTGGAGGATGCTGTCCTTACAGACACGCCAGCTTTCATGAGGTCCTTTGGTCTCCAGAGCAGCCCCCGTGGGATCTTACCTGCCAGTTACCTGACTAAGCTCAATTCTGCTCACCTAAAGTCCAGGGCTGCATTCCGTTGCCCTCCTTCCTCGCTCCCACCAGGATCCTAAACTCCACTATTTCATGGTCGTGATAGCTAAGTCTGCCATTGTCACACCTCCAACCAGTTCCTTCTTGTTAGAGAACAGAAGATCCAGCTCTGTGTCACTCCTGGTTGGTGTCCAGTTACCTGAGCGAAGGAGTTATCTCTCATGCCACTCAGCTATCTCCTTGACTGCTTGTGTCCAGCTGAGTTGCCCATCCAGCAGATGTTAGGTAGGTTAAAGTAACCTGTGAGAACCAGGTCCTGCGATTCAGAGGCTTTCTCAAACTGTTGTAAAGACTTCCTATGCTTCCTCATCCTGGTCTGTGACACACTCCCACCATGATGCCACACTCACTGCCTTCTCTTCTGGTCCCATCCCACAAGCTCTCAACCAGGTTGGTCCTGTAGAGGAACTCCATATATCCAAACTGCTCCTTCACGTAGACCATAGCCCCTCTCTTCGCCTTCCCTGCCTCTTTCCTGAGCTTCTATCAGTCCTTCACAACTCTCCACTTGGGCAAACTGTTCCGCTGTGTCTGTTATACCGATGGCAGCGTAGTGCTGTGGCTGCATGCACAGCTCTAGTTCCTCCTGCTTGTTTCCCAGACTGCTCATATTTGTGTAATTATACTTGAGGAAGTGCCCTTTGCCCTGCATTATCATTTACGAAGTCTTTCTTTTATCCAACATGTTGTAGCCTCTGCTTTTGTCCTTGTACCCTACTACCTCACTTAGCTGGGTTATCATTGCCGCCTCCCTCCCTTGTCCTTCCTAGTTCAGCTCTCCTTACCAGGTTGGCCAGCCCGTTGGCAAAAATGCTTCTGCTCCAATTTGTCAGGTGGATCCCACCTCTCCCTAGCAGGCCTCAGTCCTCAGAGTGAGTCCCATGGTTGTAAATGCCCAATTCCTGTCGACATCAGGTGTGCAACCGGGTGTTGACCCACTGGAACTATTTGTTCCTTCCCAAGCCCTTCCCTTCACTTGTGGAGACTAGGTATTGTGAGCATAATGGCATAGGTTCTGCCAACCTATAGGCATAAGTATGTTAATACACACTGTTCATTTAAACTCGATGCTTCCAAACCCCAGGACAGAATTTAGCTATACAAGTCCCATTCCGCCCAATAGGATCTGTGTGGTTACACTTTGGCAGAGCTGAAAATACTCACACGCACATAGAGAAAAACACAGGGACAGAAGTATGAGGACATCTGAGAACGTCACTTTTTGCAGCTATTCTGCAAGTCCTCTGGGACAGACACCCCATGTCTCAGTGGTCTTCAAAGCCAAGTAGGACTTTTTTGTACACTGTGAAAACAAAGTCTTCTATAAAGAACTGCTAAAAAAGGACTTGGAAAACTCTGGACCCAGAATCTCTCTGATCCTTGTAAGTGCTACTGGCAAGCTCATTTCTGTGTGGTTTTCTCTTAAAAAGGTCCAGCAATGTTTTCTTCTTGCCATGGAGTAGCGTGTCCATTCCAATGAGTTACTGCTTTTTAGTAGTTGCTTGCTACCTAGTGGTTTTCACATACCACTGGCACAAGTAAAGAACGTTCACTGCACAACTCCCAGACAAAATGAGAGGATGGAAAAGTGCTGAACCATGGTCCTCTATGCTCCTCTGTGCTGTCCAAGCTTTCTCTCTCCTTTTTGCCCTTTCTACCTCTGCTCCTTTATTTCCCATCTTGAGCCTTTTTCAACCCTATAACTTCCTGAAAAAAAACAAAACAAAAAAACCACAACAACAACAACAACAAAAAAACAACAACAAAAAAACCAACAACAACAAAAAAAAAAACCAAAACAAAAAATACTCTGATGCTTGTAGGAGATCATTTGGCCCATGCTGCTGGTCACTAAGCAGTAGTCCTGGAAAGGAAATGTCAGTCTCTTTGAGCCTGACGTATGCACACAGGGACAACTTGCCTTGGAAATAAAAATGCAGCAGACAATCCTCCCTGAAGGTCTCCTCTCTGCCAAAGTGGCTTTCTCTAACCAACTGGCTGGGACCAAAGGACATAGCAGTTCTGTGGCAGCACATCCACTACAGATTTTATAGAACAGCCCAGGCTGGAAGGGGCCTTAAAAGATCATCTGGTCCAGCTTTTTATGGGAAAGATGAGATTATCTAGTACCCCGTCCAATTGCATCTTGAAAACCTTCAGCAATGGGGACGCTACCACTTCCCTGGAGAGGTTGTTCCAGTGAATGATTGTTAGTACTGTAAAAAATCTCTTTCTTATGATGAGATGAAACCTCTCCCAGTCCAACTTACACCTGCTGCCCTTTGTCTTCTACACGTTTCTCCTCAAGGAGAGCCCCATTTGTCTTTGTAGCTGCCTTTTAACTACTGGAACGCTGTGATGAGGTCCCCCCCGAACCTTCTCTTCTCCAAGGAGAAAAGACCTAACTCTTTCAGACTTTCCTCACAGGGCAGGTTCTCCAGCCCTTCTATCATCTTTGTGACCCTCCTTTGGACTCTGCCCAGTCTGTCTCCACATCTTTCTTGAATTGTGGCGACCAGAACTGGACCCACTTCTCCAGGCGCATCCTGACAAATGCTGAGCAGAGTGGGATGATTATGTCTCTATCTCTGCTAGATTTCCCCACTACATTCCAACTTATTTTCTCATTTCAGTCTTACTCCAGTTCTGCCACTGCTCCTTCTGCTTAGAGCTGGAGCAAAGCACGTGCTTATGCCTTGTGCTGAGCGTGGAGCACTTGCAAAGGTTAAAATCCTGTCCTGCCTGGGAGGAGTGTGCATGGGGATTCTCTGCTTGTCTTCACAGATCTTGTAAGTTGCCCAAATAACCTGTCATTCAATAAGTTATCCTGGGAGCAACTAACCTGTTAAAACCCTATGAACATGTCTTTTTTTTTCTAGGCTTACGGTATAATCAGACTCTGGGAAGGACAGAAGTTACAATTTGTGCTTACTAAGGACAAAATAATACCAAAGCAGCACAAAAACCTTAGGGGCTTTTGTCTGTGGGAATAAAATGGCAGCAATAAATCCTCCACAACGCTTATAGTCCGCAGAGCCCATCCTAAACCAACAACTCATGACCTGGACCTAGAGAAAAAACTCCCCTCCATCAAGATCTGGGAGCCTGGGTCAGGGGCCAGTTACTCTGCAGCAGGTTGTCTGCTTCACACAGCGCCACAAACTAAGTGGTAATCTCACATGGCTTTTTTCTGAAATGGGAGCAGATCAGTGTCTCTGCGTAGCTCTGGTCTCCAAAGAGGTATTCTTGCCTGTGGTAAGCAGAGGGGAATTCAAAGAAGTTCAGGTTGAGTTCACTGGATTCAGCTTTAAATGTATTTTTATTTAAACCGTAATCCTGTGAGCGAGCAACTGTCACAACTTACGGTGATGAGGTAGAGAGACATAATTCACAGTTTATAGATTGAAGGCTGAGGGACAGAGGGTCGAAGTACACTTGGATATACTCTTTCAGTTGAGCCTTAGCAGCTTAAACAGTTACGACCCTCTGGCTGTTGGTTGCTGGTTTAATTCACGCTGAAAGGCTGAATATGCCTCGCACAGTAAGTCACAGCATCACAGCCGAAGGGGCAGGGGGGCAGTTCACAGCTGAGAAACAATAACTGGAAATTAAGGGGCTAAAATGCCTTAAAATCAGACACAAAAGTACATCTGGAAAGGGGGGGGGGGGGGGGCGAGGCTCAACTTACCTATCTTCCTTACTTGCAGATAAAGCAGATGGTTCAGTCCAATTCCTCAGTGATTCCCTGTGGTCTGATGGGAATGTTTTAGGCACCGGAGTGGTCTGCAAAATTACTACAAACAAATTTTGACCTCTCAAACATAGAACAGTAATTGGGGGGGGAGTAAAAGGACATTTTAGTGATTGTTTTATTGGCCTATAAGGGTAAACAATATAGCAACACTGCAGAATATAATCTGTAGGGTGGAGAGGGGAGGTTTCCCCTCTCAACAGGTTAAAAATGAAGTTTCTTATGTATTTATAAAATGAGAAGAGAGAGAGAAACAACGCGAGATCTCGACAGCCTGACCTATCCCGTCTAGCCTGGACGCTAAATTCGATTCCTTAAATCCAGGACCGCCTCCAAATCCTGAAGGCCCTATAGTCACCCCGAAGAGAGCCACCCGTTCATTCTGCGCGCAGGCACACACCGTGTCTGGGCTCATCTCGCCGCCCCTGAGAACAAGCCACAGCTCCAGTGGACGATTTTTTCCTGCAAGACGAAAGTCAACCTTTTAGGATGCTTCCTGCTAATAACAGAGAAGCTGTGCTGAGGTGCGTGAGGATGTTCAGGGGGTTAAAGCGAGCTGGGATGCCTCCTTGATGATTTCCTTCGGTGAAGCTTCCCTTATCCCTATCTACCAACCTCTGTAAACATTCCGCTCCGTTTCTCTGACATGCAGGATCTGGAAGCATATTAGCTATTTTTTTACTTTCACTCCTACTAAACGGAGTTTGAACTGTTGGTGAAGAACCCCGAGCAGTGCCAGCTGCAGAGGGAATTCGAGGGGAAGCGGTTGGTGGTGCCTTTCACAAACAGGGCCAGCTTCACTCATTTGTCGGGCTGCGGAACGCTTTTATTTCGGCTGCCTTCATGAATGCGGGCGCCTGTTCTGAAACAGTTTGCTCGGCTGGCCTGAAGTCAAGGTTGGGGGGGGGGGGGGGGGGCTGTACCAAGTTAGCATCTTTTGAAAAAGATCTTTTGAGAAAAGAATCAGGCCCTCGGCGTGAGAAGACAAAGGGTGAACACAACAACGAACATAACCCCAAATTAGACGCCAGATTTTAAAGCACGGCTTTTCACTTTTCTCTTTGCCGCCCTTTTTAAAAATTGATGAGCCTCACTGGGGCACTGTTTCACCTGGGATAACGCTGGTTGCTCTGCAGCTATCTTAGGGTACCGAATGCATTTCAAAAGGCAGCTTTGGAAAAATTAGAGCAATTTGCAACGTGACAGACCCTGAGAGACAGAACAGTTGTGCACACAAAGGGTACGAGAGAGCTAAGCTCAGACACTTGAGCTACGGCAGCTCTTTAAAGACGTAAAGCAATGTGCCAGTTCCTTCAGTCTTTGCATTACTTTGCAAATTGACTTTATTGAGCTAAGCAGCGTAAATGCTATTTCCTATTTAAATAGAAGCTGCCTTAGTGCTTTGTCCTTAGCACTGGTAATTCTGTTTCTGCAGAGAAGTGCTGGTGACTGATGGGTTTATGAAATGTATGGAATGGTACAAATCTCACCGCTTTCCTTGCTTGGTTCTCGTTAATACCAATAAACCAACTTCACTGTCAAATAAAAAAGCCCCACCACCGTTGCTCTGCCCCTTGTTCTCTGGATTTTACAAATGAAATGGCAATAATTCTCCTAACAGCCTCAAAGCCTCATGTCAGCACTCAGCACAGCATCATGGCGATACCAGGGTAATGTTTTGTCAGAGGAACAGCTTCTCCCTTCTGTCTGATTGACTATCCGCTACAAAAAAACGCCATGGAAAATAATCATCCATCAGTTCTGTGTAAATCTGTGATGGAGCACCTTTACATTACATACGTGATGGCCAATAACACAAAATGTGTAAATAAATGACACGAACATCAACACCGTTCTCCTCACCGCCACCCTCCTCACCTCACCGTCACTCAAGAGATTCTCCACCATATTCATGAAAATCAAAATGTCTGGAGTACTTGAGCTAAAATCTATACATACGCAGAAATGGTTTTGCACTAGAGCATCTGTACAGTGAGGTCCACAGAGATTGGCCTAACTGCTTCACTGAATCTGTCTCAGTGAACTTTCAGATTCCTCTGCATCTACGGATTCATCACCTCCTTCAACTCAGTCTGAGAACCACTGACCACCTTGTGGAGGATGACAGTATTAGTAGTTTGATTGTGCTGCATTCTTCTCTGTATTCCTCTGTGAAATTAATGAAGTAATAACCAACAAATTGTTCCAAAGGTATTTATTTCTCTCCTGTACATGAATTAAAAATAAAATCTGACAAAAAAAAATAGAAACACAATTTATTAAAATTCATAATCTTACTCCTATATCAATCATATTTTTTTTTCATGTAAGGTAGAAAAATAGAAATTTCATCTTGGACCCACATAATATTCTTGCAGTACTGCCTAGAAAACTCCGTGAAAATAAATACTTTTTTTCCATGAAAAGGGACAGTGCACATTGCTTAACCAGACAAGCACAGAAGTAACAAAAAGAATTTAGTGCAAATTTCTAAAATAAGCATTCGGATTACACTTACTTTCATGCGTGATTTGTAAATGGTTAACAGTTCAGGTTTTTCATATTCTGAAACGGAGCTAATCAGAATCACTTGAAAAGAAAGTTGAATGAGCTGTTGCTTCTTTGTCTTGGAATTTAGTTTTCAGCAGCGTTGTAATAAACTCTTCTTTGAGCTCTCGTTTGACTTGAAGTTAGTCAGAACTTTCCAGAGCAGAAGCAAAATATTTTTTCACTTATCTAGAATGCTTCAAATATATTCAAGCTTCACAGAACGTTTTGGTTATTTGCTGTAGGTGTCTTGTGAACTGGGGTCATAGTTAAAACTGACAGAAGCATACATTCACTATGGTCAAAATCCCATCAATTACTACTTGTAAAAAGTTTGTAGCAAGGAGTTTGACATTAATGCTATTTAAGCTAAAAACATGAGACTGCATCTGACACAGATCACTTAAGGATCTCATGAGCATCCATTTTCTGCATATTTTCTGTAGACTCAGGTTGACATTTTGGTTGAAGTTCATGCTACAGAAAGTGTCTCTTACATGAGTAAAAAATATAATAAATAATTAGGTCTAATTTTTTTTACCTGGGGGATTACATACCTAGGTTTTCAGTTAGTTCTCAACACAAAAGGTACATGTTAACATCCTACCTCAAGCTTTATCACTTCAAGAGTCAGACAGCCTGCACAACCAGCGCTAGGTGACATCTTCTGGATAACAGGTCAGGGCTGGAAAAAACCATGCAAATCAAATGAAGTGTAATTATTTCAAAAAATGTAAATGTCCTAAAAAATAGAGTTAACTTTTTTTTTTTCACTTTGGATGATTCTATGTCTGAACATTGGACTTCCAGTCCAAAAAGGCCACCTTGCTGAATTTGGCTAGGTTTTGAAAAAGGAAGGAGAAAATTGCGCACAACGTATTTTGCTATGCAGCTTCTAAAACTTGTCATTACGGCCACTAAAATCATATAGTGTTAAAAAACAAGTACAAAAAAAAAAAAAATTCATACAAAATCAAGTAATTATTTACAACTTGCTCAAGGATGCTGCTGGTCTGCCCTTGCAAACGACTTGGGCAGGTGCTTAATTTTAAGCATGTGAGTCATCGTGCCCGGAGAGATTTTATGGCGAACACTTATGCACAAATATTAGTTCGACTGGCTCCTCCACCTCAAGATAAGCATGGACATAAGTGCTTTGCTGGATATGGATCAGGATGCTCAGCACCTAACAGGACTTCAGGCGCTGATCCAGCAAAGCACTTATCCACACGAACAACACTGCTGACTTTGAGATCGCTGCTCATGTGCTTAACATTAGGCATGCTCGTAAGTGCTTTCCTGGAAGGGCCCGATAGACCAATAGTGTATAAGCTATAAAATCTGAAGCAGTGTATGTTCAACACACCACATATTTAACAATGTTAATCTGCTGAGATTTGCTTTTTCTTGGAACAAGGCATGTCTAACTTCAAGCATTGATTTTTCAGAAAGTGTGTAAAAAAAGCCTTTAAAAGCTGCTCTGAGATTATGGCAAGTTAAAATACTATCAGCGAATCTCCTTATGCTCCTTTCATTTCTTCTTTGCACGTCTTTGCGCAGGCATCTAAAAAGGAAAGAGAAAACCCTAGTCATTAACATTAATCTATTCAAATAAGCATCTATACATTTAGCTACCCTCTAAAACCCAAGTCAGATGCAACTGAACTCCTGAAAACAAACATCACTGAACTCTTCTAGATTTCAGATCTGAAGGCAAATTCTACCAACTATGTTGCCTTTTCTACTGAAAATATTCAAATCATTAATCGTCACTTCTACAAATAGAACTAAGTTTATTACTTAAGACTGAAAATGATGTGCAAGCTCAACCCTTACATACCCCTAAATCAGTGCTGGTATTTTCATATGAAGTTTTCCATGCCCTCTGATGTCAATACATTTGCAACGTGAAGTCTAAAAAAGTGGAAATGTAAGAGCTGCTTAATCCCAAAACAACAACTATAAAAGCCTCACAACTCATCAGGTATCTACACGAACATGTAGAGAGGGTATGTTCATCCAGAAAAAGAAATCAAGTAAGACCACATTTCTATAATGGTGCTGGCATATTGTTTCATACTAAGCTAACCAAGGAAGAAATAGCAAAGCAGCACTTCATAATGACCTACTGCTACTGCTGGCCAGGCTGAGTAACTATATTTAAATCCTTGTTGTGGTAGGAAATACTGTTTTATGTATTTGGCACCGTGTGCTCTTCATAACTTCTTACAGCTACATGTTGAGGAAGTTTCAAAGTTACTAAATGTATTTCGCTCTTTTCTAAAGGGAAAAGAGTTTTAGTTTTCAGGTGAAAGTTCTAATGGCTTTTGGAAATGGCTTATTTTTTTTTTTTGTCATGCACAAATTCCGGCTCAACCAAAAGCACAGTCACCAGTACAATTACTACCGTCCTAAGTTACGGCACAGCTGACATTGATGTGACACACTGAAGCACAACGCGTCCGTGCCCAGAGGAAGAACTCTAGACTTAGTCCCTGAGTGCAGCGGCAGATGTGGAAGTCATGTACAGAGGAACAAAAAATAAAAATTAGTATCCCAGATCAGAAGTCATCACAAAGGCCTCCCATCTCTAACAGAATTGTCCTCCTCTTGTCCTAAATTCTGACCAGAGGAATGGGAACTTTTCCTTAGAAGAAAGGCTTTTGAACCGTTCGGTCAATGAAGAGGTACATTTCCAAAATCTATTTCACAATTTTTTTGAACTATTAAAAACTAGCAGATTTAAATATCCAGAAGAGCTTCTACCGTGTATCTGTCCTACCTCACAGTTCCTGTTTCTAATGTAACTCTCTCCCATTCTTGCTTTTCCACTCAAACATCTATCCCGTGCTCGCCTGCTTTCTCAACATCTTCTAGTGCTTGGAATTGGCTTTCCACCCATAATTACACAATTCCTTTCCTCTCATTTACCAAAATACGGCTTGAGAGGTTGCTTACTGCACAAAACTTCTCCATTAACATGACAGTATGTGCCTGGGCTTTTTTGGTTTGGTTTGTTGTTTTGTTTTTTTTTTTTTTGTTTTTTTTTTTTTTCATAACATTATCCTGCACTTTTGAGTGGTGGTTTTCAAAAGTTGCCATCACTGGCCCATGCCCTCTTCTACTGATACGAAGTTGGGGGGGGGGGGGTGTTTTTTAGTCAAATAAACTGCTGGGCGAGGCTGAATGCAATTGTTCATCCTGGATTCACCAAATGCTAGATCTTTCCAATCCTAGAAAAGACCCCTCGGATAAACCAGTACGTGCTGCTACAGGGCCGGTCTTCACTTACAGCTTAGACAAGTAAGGTAGGAAAAAGGCAAGATGGCAATTCTAAAGGTGGTGGAAATTGTCACATACAATGATACCTACCATTAACTTTTAAACTTGTCTGATAGTTAATGTCAGAGAAGGAAACTTTACTGATGGGGCTGGTGAAATTCTGCTGACGACAGCTGACAGGGCAGTGTGGTATAACGGAAGTTTCTCCATGGCTCTATGTAGCAATTGCTGTTTTTTTTTTCGTGTCCCCTACTGCTTCCCACCCCCTTATATCATTTCAGAAAACTGACATTCATAACCGGAATTTTATTAAAACACCAAATGACTTGGAAGAATGATTCTAACTGAAAAATCAATAAAGTTTCTGTATCTGAATCACACAATTCTCAACCTACAGTCAAAGGCTAATACGACGGGCTGATTTTCAGAGATAAGGAAGACTTACAGTAGTGATTCCTCAGAATGCCTGGAAAGCATTTTTTTTCTAAACAACTTCATTTTGGGTCTAGATAACCCACTTCAGAAAAACATTTTTAAACCTGGGTACATTAACTGCAAGCTGTCGTGAAGCTGTCCACGTGTCACACAAAGGTCTCTGTAATCAGAGATAATAATTCCACAGGTATCGAAATATTTTCCTCTATCTGGAATTCTAACCATACTGACTTCCCCTTTTACAAACTAGGTCTGAATCTTTGAAAAAAAAAAAGCGCTGGTTTGATAGGCATACAAACCCCAACACCAACTGCAAAACTGCACACAGCATACAGCAAGGCTCCTCATTCATTTCTGGTTGGAAGAGAACGCCACCGAGCTCTTTAACCTAACGAGCCCCACTGAAACCCTCTGAAGTGGAAAAATGGCATAGTTACTAAAAATGAAGGAACTCCTAGTTTCTCTGACACTTCCCACTGTCCAGGGATACAGACAGATTCTCTACAGAGCCGAAGTGGCCAAGAAGGACATAATTTAAGAGTGTCTGTCCACAACACACATTGTACTTGATCCACAGTAACGGCGCAGTACAACCGGCAGAGGAAGCGACGAGTGCTGAGCAGAACTCGCTAGGTCTATACAAATGATCCCAATGGCTCCATCTCTTTTTCAGTTCTGTGAATTAGGGAAGTTGCGACATAGCAGATAGCTGTCCCTCTGAATATATGGGAATACTCTGTAATGAGGAAAGAACATACCCAAGAGTGAGTAGCGAATTCTAAGTCACAATCTCACCTGGTGTAAAACTTCATAAAACTATACCTTATTTAGGACACTCATACTTAAGCTTTTGAATCCAGTCACCAACAGGCTTCTTTGTCTTTAAATAAATCTTTCCCTAATTACTTTTGTAAGGACCTACTGACCTTGGCACTGAACGTAAAAATACCCCTATATTGCTCTGTTTTCAGAAATTCACCATGTAAACCTGAAGTGAGGCTGTAGTTTTTTAAGGATTAAAAATCATACAAAGGAAAATACCAAAACCCCTTACGAAATGTCCTGAAGTCTAACCTAACTCTCAAAACATAAAGCAAATAGAACAAACACAAATTTGTTACACAGAACACTTTATTGCATTACATGCACATTGACACCTGTGGCAATTTGTTTCTAGCACACTCAAAACAACCCAAATCCCACTATAGGCACTATCTTTGTCTTGATAAATTGCTACCCATCAGCAACGCTTACACCAGCACTTAGATTTGGGTCAACATAAAAATCTAACAATACCATCCTACTCTGGTGTTACATTGGGTAAAAATCTTCAGAAAGCGTCAAAAAATAATGCTCCTTATGAACGAAATTTTTAAAAACTCAAAGGAGGGCCTATTTCCAGCCCAGAGTGGAGTGCAATGGAGAAAGTTCTGTGGCGGTCTTGACTGAGCTTGCCCTAGAACAAGAGGCGGTACAGGACAGTACGGTACCGTGCTCAACCCCCCTTCTCCGCTCAGAGGACCAGGCTAACGCAGCCGGGTTTTCTTCCTGACCCACGCTGGAATATCAGCACGGAACTGCCTTGCCCCACTGAGTCATAACAGCTCTGTCCCACTCCAGCTCACAGATCTCTTCATCACACTCCACCACGTACAAAGACATGCCCTGCATACACTGTACTAACAGAAAAAAAAACAGAAGACATCTTTAGCTTCACATAAAAATAACCACTGTATAAAAATCTTTCAAAAACAAGTCTTTATTTTGATGATTTAGGTTTGGAGCTGAAGAAAGTAGAAATGGATTTCATTCCACTTTTATCAACTTTGGCCAGAGCCTTCTGTGCTGCTGACATCTTGCTGTTTGCCTGTTAGTGAAATGATAAACAGAAAAAGTTAAGCTGCATCTCCATAGGACAGGTTTATAAGCTACAAACTCCTAAATACGGAAGTCAAGCAAGAAGTTGAATTGCTTTTTTAGTATACAGCAATAAAGATAATGTTATGGAGGCTTTATATTGTAGGAGAAAAACCTTACAAAACAAATCCGAGACTATTCAAACAGAAAAATACTCATCATGAATTACTTAACCTCAAATGAAGACAGAGAATCAATCACAAGGACAAGGAGGTGAAACATCTTTCCTTTCTGCAGAATGAGGTATCCCAACTCAAACGTTTACTTTGGGATAATCCCTGAGTGTACATTAAGAGGAATAATGCATGCGATGTAACAGATGCATACTGTACCCTCCGACTCAATCTCATGATTATGCTGTCAGCAGGCTGAATTACAGCCTTGCATTACAGATGATGAATAATTCACACTGATTTATTATCAGAGACTCTATGCACGGGGAAATAAAGGGAAAAGAGATGGAAGAACTAAGAATGAAGAAGGTAACTAACATTTGCAAAGCACTTCGAGGCCACTGGGAAAACTTCCCAGACTTTTACACCTAAAACACATTTTATGAGCCACGTTTTATAGAGCTGACCTCTTTTCTTTCTTACATTTTAAAATGTTATGTTTTAAATCTCTAGCTGTTTTCCCTATTAAGAAAACTTTGCATTGACCTTTCTTTATGGTACTCCTCAGTCTGCAGGACATCACAATTACAATACTTGGGATCAGCTAGAAGGTTATGGATAGGATGGAGATATGCAACAACAGTATGATCGTCTGTGTTACTATACAAACAAAAACACTGCCAAAGTATTTCAAAAAGAGTAGTATACTGTACGGAGTCCAAGAGCTATCTTTGCTGTCCCAGATTCTCTCATCAGTGTGCTTCATTACTTCAGAAGTAAATCATATTTAATGTTAAAATGAATTATCTCTCCTTGG